TATAGTATCTCAGGCGAGAATGAACATTCACGAAATATACTCGAGCAACATGAAGACAGACTGAATTTCAAAGAATTATTGTGAGTGTGTAGCATTCCTACAGTCTTAGTGAACTTCTTTTTTCATTCAATTCATATAAATGAATGTGTCATCAGAGGGTTTGACTGAATAGAGAGATCCAAAAATTTTGTTGCCTGCATCAGTCAATGGGACGTCGTTCATAATCAACTGCGCGGACAATTATTTGAAATAGAAAAAGGCTTTGAATCCGTTTTCTCTATTTCGATCACTCTTAATTCGTTATTACGAAACCAAAGTGAAAATACGATATTGTAGTGTTTACTGTATCTGAATTACAAAGAATATTCGTATCATCTGCTAAGAGAACTGTTCTTTCTTCTGGAACCGCTGTCATTCACGAATAGTCAGGTATAGTAGAACGAAATTAGGACCTAAAATCGAACCCTGCGGGACTCCATGCGCAATTGACAGTGCGTCATCAAACCCTGCTCGTGTTGGAGTAACGTAGTTCCATTGATGTGATGTATGTAGTGATTGGCTTATATTAGCTTCAAGGTTTTGAAGATTAGAATTCAAGGTCATCCCTATATGAAAAACAAATATTTGTAAATTAGTAAATTAATACTTTTAAATACATTTTTAAAAAATGACTCTGGAAGAAATGTAGACTCCGCTGCAAAATAGTTCTTAAGGAAAAATAATGTTACATTTTCAGAAAAAATTCTGTATACGCGTAAAGTACATTGTAAAAATCTAAATATAACATGAAATAAATTTCGTGCGTTGTCTTCAGCATTTCTGAAATTATCTGATCTGAGTGAAATGAATCATTTTCATGTAATTCCCATACAATCTGAAGGACGTAACAGAATGATTACGCTGTAATAAACAAGATCACCTCCGCACATGACAGAAAAAATAAAAAAAAAATAAATAAGATTTAGTGGACATCAGGTGGGGATGGAATCTTCAAATTCAACGATCTTTCATCGATCCCTTAGAGAAGCAGTCACACAATACGATGCCTTGTGCAATCCTTTTCTTTCGTTTTTTCTTACAGTGCAGCGTATTTCATGAAACAAAAATGAATAAAACGTCAAAATAATCATAAAGGTACTGACAAAAATAGTATTTGATACACAAACGCACTGATTCAGAATAATTTTAAATTCATGTGTTACTGACTGAAGTAAAGATGACTTGCAGTGAGATGTGAGTTATTTCAAAATATTCAGATGTGGATCATGACTCCAAGATATCTCTTCAACTATCTAAATAACAGATGCTCCTGTTATATAGTCCACATACTTCAATGAGAGAAGCTAGTTATTTCAATAGCGTTCTTTATCTTCAGGAAACATAAGACTCCAATTGGTTGTGAATATTATGTTATTTAGGTTTCGTCTCAGGCTCGTAACATGGTGTATTTGAGATGGCGGCATACAAAGAAAAATATGAATGATAACATCGTTTAAAACTTTTTAAGTAAAGAGTTTCTTTTTGGAGGTAGTATTTTGTATAAATACTTATTCATATTAATATATACGCAATTCATAATAAATAGTCTAAATGACATTAAGCTATGTGTAATGAATTTTAATCCATATAACACAAATATTTTGAAACAAGTCAGCCATTTAGCTTTGATCACCTAATTTATCTCTTCCTTTTGTGACTAAATTAAACAAAAATGAATTCCAAAACTATTCAACTAAAATAATAATTAGGGGTTATTAAATACTACCTAAAAATAGGACATTCGATTTCATTTATGACCATTACGTTTCCTCTTCATACTTGATTCCATATTTTTAATTAAAAAGTGAAGTCAAACTATACATCATAATGTACATATATTAGAAAAATGTCCTTGAAATATTTCAATAATGTGCAAAACTAGCTATGGACTAATAACTACGTACTTTATCTCCATGTTGATCTTGTTGACTAAAACCAATCATACTCGAATGTAATGCTATCATATAACAAAAGTGAAGAATGTATGCTTTCTGAGAAATGCGTTGAGAGTAATTGAATCTACAATCTACATATCATACAAATTTGTCACACTGCTTTTAGACATAATCACTAAACACTAAAAACATAGGTAAATCCTGGGTTTTTTGATTCAGTTCATTGGAGGGGAATCGATTCCATGAACTTGTTAGTATGTCCTAGTCGCTGATAGTAAAGTTCATGATGTTAACGCAATAAATATAATTATTTAAATAAAATTGTACTTCACAAACACATTCTACTTAAACGTTTATTATTGGGGAGCTATTGCCCCCCAAACACCCCATTTTGATAATAAAAAATCAATTTGTATATTTTTTCAAACAAATACTACTTAATATTTTAAAGATTGCAGTATTTTAATAGAAAAAAGAAAAAAATGAACTCACTTAATGGTTGAAATTATAAAGTTTTAATAGTATTACCAATACTATAGTAGTAAAATTAGTGTAGATTATTTGCATTAATTACATATAACATCCTTGTACCACGAAAAACTTAAATGATTCATCATCGTATCACCAAATCTGCCTATATCTGAAAAAAAATACACTTGTTACTTTTTATGAACTGAAGATCAATAAATTAAGACTCCTCTCAAACCAAGAATCCTATTGCACAGCCATTTTCACGCTATGACTATTCTCGCCTCTCACTCTACAAATCCACTCATAACCATCTTTTCTATCCTTTCTCTCAGTAAATTTCATATTACTTTTGCATACATTACATACACGTCGAGACGCAAGCAAACCCACTTTCTGACACCTTTGGATCACATTTAAAGTTCTCTCGACGCAAATCATAAATAAAACCTGCATTCATACCTTCCACCTCACTTCACAAACCTGTAAGAAGACTTGAAATGCGAAAAAACACGCAAATCCACACCAACAAATTCTTGTGACACTTGTACGTAATATCTAATTAGATTTTAAAATACATAATTTAGTTGCTATAGTAACAATTAAAAGTGTTCATAGAAGACTGTTTAATTAGAAACCAAGTCTATATTTATAGTCAATTCAAGCAGCAAGTAAATCCACAATTTTGACAATTGTTTTTTGAAAAAAAAGTGTTATTTTATATTTGAGTTGATATTAAAATGTATCGCGATGAAAAATAAATGTCTCTTAATAGAAAAATGTATAGCTTCGCATGACTTTGACTCAATCATTTTGAATATATTTATGCTTTGGCCTAAGAAAATTAATCATTCCCAGCAAAATTATTCTCAAGCGCCCAACCAGTGATTCAAGTGATCTTCACCATGATGTAAGATATATAGGTGTGTTAACTTTGTTATAGGTGTTGCCTTTTGGGCAAATTTTCTGAAGCCAGTTTGAGGCTAGTTCCTCTCTGTCCGTGTGGTGCGCCCGATCTGCGTGGATACTTATGATGGCGTCCTGGCGCATTCAGTATATTTTTTTGCAAGAAAAGAATATTGGTCACTGGACACACTGGATTCACATAGTAATCAGGAAGTCTCACAGAGGATTATAAAGTCTCACAGAGGTGTTAAATTTAATGTGCTCGAGCGGGAGCCATGCATATTTGCCACTACATGAATCATGTAATACCAAAGAATGGGGATTTCCATTAAAACAACAGGTTTTGAAGTCATAACAATAACCAATAGGGTTTACATTTACGAAAATCACTTCAGTTGTCAACAGGTATGTTCTTGGTAACAGTATGCCTATCACTGGTTCTCACTGAAAAACAATTTCAAAGTTAATTATAATTTTCTAGTAGAAACACTTTTTTGCAATTCGTTTACAGATTATCTAATGAATTGAACTTTACCACGTTACAGATACTTATGTACACAATTTGCAATTAATAAATTATACTAATTAATATAATTCATGAGTTTTATGGCAGAAGTACAGTCTACATTAAGAATAAACACTACACATCTTTGGGGTCATTAAATGAAATTAATAAAAGCAAGATCTGGTCTGATTTCAATAAAATCATTTTTCACCAACTGCAATATGTGGAACCAACTAGAAAATTATTTCTCTGGAAACCACAAGAATTCAAAACCAAGTATGTTGACTAAAGACCCATTTCAATGAACTTCATCACAAGACACCTTTTTCTTTTTATACTATGCAAAGCAGCCTCACCAATACATAATTCCAACTTGGTCCGCTGTTGAAATACTTTCTCAACATCAAACAATCTATGTTAAGCTGTACTTCTAAACGAGACATTTGTTCATTGTCAGATAATATATTTAAATTTTAATACTTAGTAAGAATGACCTACAAAAAAATATAATTCAACCCAATTTTTTTATTTCAGTATTAATTATTTAATTTAATTAATATTTGAAATAACATTAGTTGCCTTTTCACATCTTAACAACATTATGTGCAGAAAACAACAACAAACAACTCCTCAGATGTAAGATGAATGGATATGGTGTTCCAATGGTAATATCTGTGTCTGTGTGGCCAAAATACTCACTGAAAGTTCAAAAAAATAAACAAGAATGAAAAATCAAGATACACAAATTATTTCATATATTTATCTTAAAAATTACAATTTTATTTACAAGAAATTCTATCTTAAGGTCTGGGCTGTAAATCATATCTTCTGCAAGTTACCCTATTTATTTTTTAATAAATTGAAAATGCATATGATATGGACCATAACCATTGGAAACATGACTAAAAAACATAACATGCTAATCTCTTTGAATTAGCTTTCATTTTCAGTTTTTGAATGCAAATTCTTCAAACTTTGGATTAATTTAGTAAAACGTGTTCATTTATATTCTTTGATTACACAATTTAACTACTGGAATTTTTTCCCAATTGAAGTATAAGTATTGAATAATATTATGTTGGTTGTTTATATTTCACAATATTTGTTGTGTATGATTTTACACTGCTTGTGTGTTTATTTTGTAATTAACTGATAGTGTAAGGTGAATTATTAGTTTATTTACTTACCTTACTTCTCATAACAATAGTTTCAGTGTTGAAATCCTTGACGCCAATATAATCATTGATTTTATTTTCTCCTTTTCTGGGGAAAAAGTCAACCTATTTCTTTTTACTATCTTATCACTTCCACACAGAAAACAAAGCTAGGTTTAACTAATTATTTTAGACCCACTTTGGAAACTTCTAATTTTACTTCACACTGAAATAAAGTTTTTACTACGAAGAAATCAGTGCTCACAGTGCCGTCAATAGAAGCCATCTTGCTCAAAAAATATCCACTCAGATCGCTGCGCTCAAATGCGTGAACTGTGAGAAGTAGCCTCACATAAAGTTTCAGTCACACCTGCATTTCTTATACCGTGTCTACGCCAACACAAACTTGGGAATCATTAGAAATGATAAATCATAAAAAGAACCAAAAGAAACGTGTCACCCTAAACCCTGAATCAACCAAAACATTTGAAATAATTAGATATTTACTACAAAGTCGTTGAACACTTTCTTTTGCAATATCTACAGTCCGCAGTTCTTTACGTTTGTTGATTTTCCGTTCCGTTGTAACTGTTACTAAACCTCATACCCGCAATCGTACGTTTGTTTACGTACATTTTCATAGAAATATTACATCAACATAAGGATTGAAAAAATATGAACAGAAAGCGTTCAAAATTTGCATAATTTGCGATCATGCAAATTGAAAAAAATGAAACAAAGATTATGAAATATGATAAATATTTCCGAATAAAGTGTATTTGGAGAGATATTTGAAACAAAACTTAATGCTGTTGTTGAATATTAAAATCTTTGAACATTCACTTTCATCTATACTTGTTTTCGAACTAAAAATATCTGCATACTGAATTCCAATTTTCATCACCCAACCCCTAACTGTACCATATAACTTGTAGGCCCGCATGATGTGTGATTAAAAGTTGTAATACTCCTATAAGTGAGCGGGGAGAATAAATTTCGGAGACAATCAAATACTCATTTATTTTATCGTAGTAGATAATTAATGCCTATTTCTTCGCTCTATGTTTTTACATAGAGTTTTAGAGATTTTGTGGAGTTTCTTATCAAGTATGCTCTGAAGGGTTTGGTACTCTTAAAAACTAAATATCCAAACATTTAAAAGAAGGTACAATATATTTTTGTGGAATACTGTTAAAAAATCATTACTCTGGTCCAACCTTTACTTGCGTATGCTTGCATGCGTATTATTTGCACGTTCCCGGCCTCGATCTAAATTTAACACTAAATTTTGTCCATTCAGATCTTTTTTCAATTTTAATACGTCTTCATGCTGATCTTTGTGTGTATTATGCGACGGGTGTATTAGAACGTTACTTTACGTATTATTAGGATATATTCGAATGTTACATTAGGACGTATGGCAAGATAAAATTTATGAATTAAAATCTATACACACCTTTAATTGCCAAATGAAATCTTTTGTTCTGAACTGTTTCTATTATTAATTATAATTAGAGAATATACTGATTATTGTATTAAAATAATAATAATATTTATTTTAACAATAACATATATTGAATTATTAATAATTGTATTTTATATCATACAAATGCAAATTTTGCCTATAATAAGTATTGTACTTCATCTTCTGGCTCAATGACCCTTATGTCGATTATGACCCTTTTTTGTGTCTGAAATTGAAGAATTTGTATCTTCACTATGCGCACGTTTTGGTGAGTTTTTCTTTTCTCCGACATGTGTGGCAGTGTAGTGCATATAAGTGAAACTAAGAGGTGAGGATAGGTAAGGAAGAGGAGAGTAAGATCGCGGGCGGTCCTTGGCTTGTTTGTTAGGGTAGTGCTCCGGCATTCACCTGATGTTGATGGGAGAAAACTACCGATCAGAGCAGCCGGCCTCTCGAATTCTCCTCCAGACAGCGGCTGAATTCGACGTAGCTGACACGTGTTGACGTGTCGACGTGTCGACGTGTCGAAAGTCCTGCCACCGTCAGGCCTCACACCCTAGGACCTCCCGGTCAGAGGCCCTGCAATGATATCAGCCACCTGTGCCGGTCGGAATTCGACCTGGGGATGGGCGTATCGAACGAAAAACAGCGCAGCATTTTACGAACATACTTTATTCAGACAGGTGTACACCAAATATAGATTCTCTGTGTGAGGAGGAGCGGGAGGGCGAGGGCGACACGACGGGCGGCGGGGGCGGAGGGCGCTGGCGCTGGCGCGGGCGCGGGCGCTGGCGTGGGCGCCGGCCGCTCACAGCAGCACGCGCCGCACCAGCGGGATGCCCGGGTTGCGCGGCGGGGGCGCCAGCAGGCGGGCGAGGTAGCGGACGCCTCCCTCGCTGGCCGGCGGGTTGGCCTGCGCAAGCGGGGCGAGCGTAAAGGGAGCCATACATGGCGAAGAGAGACAAGCTAGTTTGGTTTGCGTCGGTTGTAAGTATGTTGCCTTCGCAGGCTGGGCAATGTGGAGGAACCTATAGGGGCCTATGGTTAAGACCATGGTTAAGACTAACTATAATGTTTGGATTGCGTCGTTTGTAAATATGCCTCTCTCTGTGGCCGGCGGGTGGCATGCGCAAGCGCGGCAAGCATAAAGGGGGCCATACTTGGCAAAGACAGACACGCTAGTTTGGCCTGCGTCGGTTGTAAATAAACCTCCCTCGCTGGCCGACGGGTTGGCCTGCGCAAGCGGGGCGAAAATAAAGGGGACCATACATGGCCAAGATCTGCCGCCTTAACAAGCGCGGCAAGGTGGAGGAACATAAAGGAACCTATCCATGGTATTGGCCAACTCTCAAGTTTGGCTTGCGTCGTTTGTAAATATACCTCCCTCGCTGGCAGGCGGGGTAGCCAGCGCAAGCAGGGCGAGCGTAAAGAGGGCCATACATGGCAAAGATAGACACGCTAGTTTGACATGCGTCGGTTGTAAGTATGCCTCCCTCGCTGGCCGGCGAGGTGGCCTGCGCAAGCGCGGCGAACGTAAAGGGGACAGTACATGACAAAGAGTGACGCGCAAGTTTGGCTTGCGGTGGTTATACATATGACGCCTACGCAGGCTGGGCAGTGTGGAGGAACATAAAGGGACCTATCCATGGTTAAGACCAACTATCATGCTTGGATTGCGTCGGTTGTAAATATGCCTCCCTCGCTGGCCGGCAGGTTAGCCTGCGCAAGCGGGGCTTACATAAAGGGGGACATACATGACAAAGACAGACAGGCTAGTTTGGCTTGCGTCGGTTGTAAATCTGCCGCCTTCGCAGGGTGGTCAAAATGGAGGAACATAAAGTGGCCCATACAAAAACAAAGACAAAAACCGACACGCTAGTTTGGCTCGGGTTGGTTGTAAATATACCCCCTCGCTGGCAGGGTGTCTACCCTGCGAAACGGGGGAACATAAAGATGTTTACGGCCAAGAACGCCTCTCAAGGTCAGCTTGAGTCCTTTGTAAAACTGCGCTCTGGCTTGTTGCGCAATTGAAAGAGACATAAAGGGTCTCATACACGACAAAGACTGACTTTCACGGTTAGCTTGCATAGGTTGTGAGTCTGCTGCTCTTGCAGGATGAGCATAGAGTGGAGGAATAAAAAAGCTCAATCCATGTCTAAGACCAACTCTCGAGTTTGCCTTGCTTCGATTGTAAATCTGCCACTTTCAAAGGCTAGGCAATGTGAAGGAACATAAAGGGCCTACACATGGCTACCTCCGACTCTCATGTTTGGTCTGCGTTAGTTGTAAATCTGCGCTCTCGCTGGTTGGGTAATCGAAATAAACATAAGGGGCCCACACACGACCTAAATCGTCTTTTAAGGTTAGCTTATGTCGGTCTGTCGCCTTCGGAGGCTGGGCAATCGGGAGGAACATAAATTCATCCATCGCCAAGACCGATTCTCAAGCTTGGCTTGTGTCACTTGTAAATCTGTTAACACAGCTACATTACAATTTTTCCCGCAATAGGGAACGTGCGCCGTAAGATATTAGCGACAGTGGGAAATTTTCAATGTAGTTTAGCAAGATTCGAGGCTTGGGCTTAGTCGTGGATTGGTATCATTTATGACCGTATTCTGTATAAGCAGCACACGCAAGCCTGGCTTTCTTGGCACCTGATTCTTTCCTCCCATAATTTGGAACAGTGTGGCCTTAGTGATCGAATTTGTCGCGGATGACAGCAGTGGTGAAATTTAGATGCTCTGACAAGATGATAGTTGGGTTTAGTCGTGGATCTTTTAACAACAACCGTATACCTAAATAAACTGCACTCGGGAACCTGCTTGTGTCAGTTGTATATGAATTACAGATACTGCTTCTTTATTCTCACTATTGGGAGCCATGCGTTGTACGACAATAGCTTGATCGTAGATTGTACCAATGACAATTTTCAAAAAGCGCAAGGCGGATTTGAGCGCTGAGCTTAATCGTGGATTGGTACCTAATAGTGATACCTACAAACAAACAAGTCGAAGTCGCAAACCTGGCGTGTTACAAATTTCTACAGCATGAACAGGGGTCGAAAATATTATTATTTCGCCAACGAACTTGCAGTGAGAAATTTTACGAAAAGGAGTGACACATGTGACATTTTCCCCTGAGTTTTAGGCTGTTCCGTAAGTATAGATGCTCAAAAGGCTACGTTATGACATGAGAATATTTCATGAATCTGGAAAACATCTGTGTCTACTATGTAGCCTAAAAATTAGGGGGAAATTCATGGCAAATGGCAAAAAGTTATCATTTTCGACCACCTTTCATGTGCCTTAGAAATGTGTAATATTTACTCTGAGACACATATAAATTTACCTCAAACGATTGAAAATCATATTTGTAGTTTAAACAAGCATTTTGCGAACAATCAAGACGCAAGTGAGTTGGCCTTCGCAATGGGGTACTCCTTGATTCAAGTATTTCACACAAGCAGAAATTGGGAAGAAAACGTAATAGAACATTTGAGAAAAAATGTTGAAAAGTTTATAAACAAAAATACGATTTGTCAATATGATCATTATGAACAAAATACTAAAGGTAATTAATATGCAGTAAAGCTCGACTTCATCAGGTCACTTCTACTGTTGCTTAATGACAATAATAATTTACTTTTATAAATAATTGAACAATTACTGTTATGACTTCGAACGGAAGAAAAGTTAGGTTTAAAATAGACTTTCTTCGACAGTGCATTTAATACGTGGAGAATATAATCGTTGATATAATTATAAAATTGAATAGATTTGTGTGCAATTCTCGTAGATACTTTTGCATTTGAAATAACATGATATTGAAATATGTGTTATAAGAGTTATATTCGGAAACTAGGTACATGTAAACAAATTGAGGGCATGATAATTTTAGGCGGTAAAGACCAATACATTACTTTTGAGAAAATTGATAAAAAACAATTTTAATCATTTTATTTGACCTTTTGAAAACTTTTTGTAGTCCCTGCAAAATTACTAATACCATTGAATGCTTTATGTACATTCTCACATTCAATCTGATATTTCATAATTTAATAACTGGTTGGTGATTACTGCAATGATACCAATTCCTTTCAGCTGTTTACACTATTAAAGTTAATATTAATTTCAGCCTTGAGTGAGATATAAATAGAAAATGACGACAAAGTGTCCAGTTATCATATTTAATTTATCTCATGAATTGCATTATGCATTAGCTATTCTCAGATTTACGTTCTGAAATTCATTTTGCGAAGGCAGGCATGTATTCTTTCCCACTATTAAGATTTTTATTTGGCTTTCCCATTGCACCACATTTTTAGATTGTTTCTCGGATTATGTAGGGGATACCTGAGGCACGAAAATAAGAAATACATGTAGATTTAGCCTTTGTAAATCTTTCGCATTGAGAGTGAGAAAAGGATATACCTTGCCTTAGCTCGCTTCTCCTCGTCAATGAAAAGTAGAATCTATGAATAAACAACATGTAGAGGAATCTAGCGCATTGTGTACGAAGTATTTAACATTTGTGTGTACCATTTCTACACCAATAATGTCTAAGGCACATGTGTGTACCATTTCTACACCAATAATGTCTAAGGAACATGTGTGTACCATTTCTACACCAATAAATTGTGCGTGCATTCTAATTGTATTTTGTGATCATAATTCAATTTCATAGAAAGTTGTATTTATCCTTGTATCATTCTCACTCCTTCAATTACATATATTTGAGAGACCTTATTTATTCTATGCTATTTTAGGAGGTACTCTGCAAAAAGGAGAGCTTTCTCACTGAAAGCAGAAATAAATAGAAATGAATGATATGTACATTTGTGTGAAATAAATTATTTCGTTTAAGATAATGAGAAATAAATATAGGAAAAAGAAAAGAAAATATAGCAATGAGAATTTGATATTTAATTAAACATTGCAAATTAATCACTCGAGATGGTGCTTGAGTGAGCATTATGATCATTCAAACTAACGTGAAGTCACGTTTTTTTCAATCGATGAAAATGCGTAATTTAAAATAGATAAGAACATTTTATTACGGCAACCAATACTTACCTCTAGTGACTAAAAATATAAAATCACATAAAATGATTACATATGAATAATAGAAAATTTCCTCAGAACGCAACATATCATTGACATTTGCTTTAGAACAATAATTTCCTCAACTTATAAAGCATATACTTTGTTCATAGAGTTAAACAGAAATAAAGAATGGGGGTGTGCACATTGGGTCTCCAATTACTAATTTTTAACATTAAAAACAGTTATAAAATGTAAAGAACACCAATGATAACAACAATAACAACACACTTACATCCTTGCTGTAAATTTAGTCCATGACTTGGCGTACTTGTTAGCTGTGGTTATGCAAATTGAAACATGCTAGGATCGCATGTATATTTATTTCGTATATATTATTTTAGTTATAATTTCATATTTCATGAATTTGGCGTAATATGATATCATTCCTCTCAGTTTTTGTTTCAGTTAAATAGTTGCCTTCTGAATGAAATCCATTCACGTTTTCTTGTTATTTTAGACCGTTATTTTAGGTAGGAACCGTATGCTAAGTCATGAACTATGAGTGCAGTGAATCAGTTAAAACAAAAATACATAAAAATTGCCAATTATTTTGTTTACCTTTAGCTCTTGTGCTTGAAAATTGTAAACAAAAATTGCGAATAAGCGTGAGTGCTGGTCTACACTAAAATGGTTTGCTGAAGCAAAACTACTTCAAACATTAAAGGCAAATATTAATTTCGTGCGTTCCCATCGATGAAATAATATTTCCTCATACTAATGTTTTTATGTTCTCATGTTTTGCTTTAATATTGTAAGAATTACTCATCCAACTTTGTATATTCATGTAATGGCACAATATAATACACGTGGCGAATCCTTTACCCCACGTATACCAACGAATCCAATTTACCAAATTTGACAAATAGAGTGAAAAAATTCTTGGAGTTTTCAAATTTGGCATGATTGTTCCTTCGTACCTACAGCATATCCTATTACAAATCCTAAAAGGTATGGGGTTAAGCCTGGAGTGGGGGGAACCGTTTAAAGATTTTTCTACGTTTTTTGCATATATCTACATAAATATTTAACCTACCGAACATTTTTTTGTACAAAATTAAAGTAGACACAATTTACTACAGAAAAGTTCCTTGAAGGTTTTCTTGTAGATTTAAGCCTTTTAAAGTAATGGGCTTGACAAAGTACTAGAAAAATTAAAAACATTCCAATAAGATTTTCTTGTAAAATTAATACTTTTAAAGTTCTTTTTCGTTTAAGGCAAGGCCGTATTTTAGTTAGCTCCTTAAAAGTAATGATGTTATGGTAAGTTCAATGCAAGACTCCCTCCTCCAAGTTATGGAATTTAGTAATATGTTTGGTAGGTGCATAATCTTGCCAAATTTCAAAATTCCGGGATTTTTTCAATCAATCACCATTTTTTGGTCTTATTTAACTTGACATCAATCGTCATATAGAAGTAACAAATAAGGGATTGCCCACAAACATGGACAAATAAATTAAAAGTAATTATTTACATTTTTCCAAATTATGCAAATTTCTTACATCAGAATTATTTCTTATTTTGTTTATTATTTCAAATTGTGTAAAACATGAAATAAAAGTAAATTTATAATCATACACAACTTTTCCAATTCTCTCCCAATTAATTTGAAGCTAATTTTCTCCTACTGATGTTAGATGTTTTGATACGTTAGAACCTACTATGTACATGGGTTATAGCGTAGTATACAATAGAAAAGAAGAATTGTTTTCACACATCTACAGTGAAGTCTGCTGCGGCTGTGAAGAAGCAAATTACAAGTGAGGGAAAAGGAAAAAAGAACTCCGTCTCTTCAGAGGGGCAGGATATTTTCTCATGCAACGTATTCACCAGACAGATATGGCGTGTTAATAGTTTGGTTCGTCGTAACCTCGCTGATACTCACTTAGAGATATTGGAAGTTGATCTAAATATTCTTGACGACTTTGCTGACTCAAAACCGCCATCTTTTTTCCAAGAGTGCGTTCGTCAGCTGCGATAGAGAAGGGTTATAATAAATTATTTATACTATTTAAGGAAAGTGATATTGTATTTAGTTTGTTTGTATCGTTATTTTAGGAAAATACTTTGAATTAATGTGCACACTTATTATAGAATATGATTTAATTAAGTATTAAATCAATTAAATTAAAAGTTAAGTAAATTATATACTATATTATTTTTGTTAGTATCAAGTACATCAAGACTTCAACGGCAAAATATTATCTAGTGCTTACATAATTCAGAGACACTGTTTTTACCACTCTACTGATTTGAATAATTCAATGTGTCTTTGAAAGAGAGCAAAATAGTGCAATGGAGATATAATAACTTCGGATTGATAAATTAACTTCTCAAATGTGATCGCTGGGTGTTGTCAGTTTCAACTAAATAAACCGGGCTGTAAACAAAGTGTTAATCGTAAGATGAAACTGTAGTTTGCTCTTTCTGACCACTTTCGCAAGACTATTTCATAACCTCTCGTGTCCATGGTGGTGATTATTGTAAATAGATTGAGTCATATTTTGATCTCATTGACAATTAATTGAACGCTTTATTTTACTGTACAATCTGCTTTCACATGTGATACCCCAAAGGTTCTTATTAACCACCTATGCCATTTCCGAGCGTTTGCCATTGAGTACGAGCAAAATTTCATCGTAACTTTCGCGAATGCCCGTTAGGAAATCATGGAGGAAACTCGTTTTTAGAATGCATCTCAGTGCGAATCGATCGTATTTCTTGATATGACAATTAAATTTATTTGGTTAATTATCCTCTAACTGCGTGTTTTCAACGCATCGACAAAGGAAAACAAAGTGAAATCTATCTCTAAGAAAAAAAATATTTAAAAAATTTAGTGCAAGTTAGTGCAGTAGTAAAATTGATATGCAAGCAAATTTTTAATTTATGGTAATTTTTTAGGTGAGTTGCGATTGTTTTGTGAAAAAATGGAACAATGGTAATCTTGTTAGCGTTTTCATTTGTTTTTAAAGATAATGATAGTGAGCAGTCATGCAATTTGAATGTTAATTCTTTAATTTGAATTTCAGGTAAAACATTTTGAGTTAATTTTAAATTACGGAATTAGTAATAGTGTTTAAAAAATATCTAATCGAAAGCTTTTAAATTACTTGTGTTACTTTAAAAAACAAATTGAAAAAAAAATGTTAGAACATCCACATTTGTCATGAGATATTTTCAGTTTATGCACGAGAACAATTTTTAAATATTCATTTGAAGAAATGTTTATTTTTTTGTAAGGAGTATAAACTTTGAAACTGAAAGGAAATGTATTATTTAATTTTGTTAGTGATTTCCTCAGAAATAGTAGTTGTAAGAAGTAGTAAAAAATAATCGTTGTAAGAAGACGACAATTTCTCCCATAATAATAGAAGTATTGTGTTATTTCAGAACATAGTTTTTTCATAAGTTAACCCCCTTTATGAGACAGAATATTACGAAGTTTAAATTTGGTAACTGTTTTAAAGGTATGAACAATTTGAATATGTATTGACATTATTGTATTTTTTAGTTACTATCAATTTAATATCACTCCACTCCATTCTTTTCAAGCGAGTTTATTATTTCTGTAAGTCAGATATATTATTATGTAGACTCCGAATGCTGCGATCCTGGCATTTAATATCACTCCACTCGTGTGATAAATCTCGGAAAACAGTCTTGGTGCTGTGTTGTAGTATAATTAAAAATATTCTGAGATAAACTAGATCTCGTACGACATAATTTTACTAACTTATATCATAACGCAGCCGAAATATAAACAAAAATATTTTCAAAGCTGCCAGAAGTTTATGGTCACACCATTGATAGAGAATGAACGTTCAATGCCAAGGGGCTATTTGAAGATAGTTCATTCATTAGAAGCTCTCTATTTCTATCGTGCATAAAACAACAATTTCAGACTCTATTTGTTAGAATTTATTAGATTTGGTTAGAATCCTTTAATTTTACTGATAGTTTTTAACAAATAGTCACCTAAATTCCGTGGTGACAAGAGATATCTTATGGTAATCCATAATATGGTAAAGGAAATAATCGACCATAAAAGTTTTAATAATTTTCATTAATTATTACCCAGAGTTAACTTTCGGAAAACACTTTTCCCATCCTCAGTGAGTCTTGCCCAAGCAACGTGGATTGCTCATAAATGTTCACAACATGATAAAAAAATATGAAAACTGCAAAACATGCTGGTTATAGCTAGGTGGCAGCCATCTACTATATCTTTAATTCCCCCGTTACTTTTTCCTCATACTTCCTTAGAAGAGAAATTATTGTAATCTTCGGGGGGGGGAAACTGCGCTTTTTTTACTTATTACCGAGACCTGGTAAAAAAAGTGGATAAATCTTGTTCCTACAAGTAGTAAACTATTTAGTCTAACACATTATGTAGTCAGAATCCACGTTTTGTGGGTTGTTTGTACCTAAAAAGCGAGTGACGGTAAAACGTCTGTCGGTCTATGCATGGTGAACGCTAGTGAAAAAGCTGTTGAGAGCAGACAAGTTTCTCAAAATTTATATTTCACATTCGATTAACAGGATCACGAGGCCCTAAGGGTTTCTTTATACCAACGGATATTTTGTTTCTTAAGGGTACTTTCCAAGATGACTGCAATACATTTACAACAACATTTTTTGATCAAACTTTGCCCTCGGGTAGCATAAAGGACTCTTAAAAGAGTAGTGAATGTCTCATTTTCAATAAAGTCTAGAAGTTTCGAAAATTACAAAATAAATTATGCGAGAAAGTATGTGCTGTTTTGACGAACCCGTTCAATTGATAGCGTATCTGTCGCTTGTGCCACATCGTGAAACGCCTCTCCTTGACTAGCCAACCGCCAAAGTTACATATTTTTAATTTCTTGAGAAATATTTAATTCTTCGTATTGGCACTATTTTATGTATCGTTCTCAACAAAAAGATCTATAACTCAGTCAAGAAATGAAAAAAAAATGAAGCCCTACTACTCAGGATCACAGCGTTTCCCCAATTAACGCGTATCCTTAATTCCTTCCCGGTAGAGTACGATTTATATAGTCGTGCGTCTGCCAGGTTTTTGAGCTGTTGACGATTTCATCCAATCGGGGGCTTGTGACACTACAGTGACGTCACCAGGGAAACATTCAAGCTCCCGATTGGATGAAACCTAAACCTTCCAACAGCTGATTTTACTTTCAAACGCACGGTTAAATTAAATCGCATGTATAGTTTTAACAGCACAATCTATATTCTCTTTTTCTCTCCCCCTGTCAAACATTGGGCAGCGGTACCTGTCGCTTGTTGCAGGACAGTGATCGCCTTCTCCTTGACTAGCCAAACGCCAAGTTACATATTTTTAATTTCTTGAGAAATATTTTAATTCTTTCGTATTGACACTATTCTATTATCGTTCTCAACAAAAAGATCTGTAAACTCATGTCATGAAATGAAAAAAAATGAAGCGCCTACTACTTAGTTATTCATCAGTCAGTCTACCTACTAAGTCTCCCAATTGTCACACGTATCCTTAAATCCGATATCCCGGTTAGAGTTACGATTTATATAGTCGTGTTCACTGGCAGGTTTTTGAGCTTGTTGCGATGCTCATCTATCGGGGCTTTGGACAACTACAGTGACGTCCCACAGGAAACATTCAGCTCCGATTGGATGTGAAACCACGAAAGCTGATTTATTCAAAACGAAACGGTTTTAAATAAATCCATGTATAGTTTATCTGAATGTACTATTTCTTTATTTCTTCGTCGTCCCAAATCGGCCAGCGTACTGTCGCTTGCGGGAGAACCATGAATGCTTCTCCTTTGGCGAGCGCCGGCCACGCCCGTATCTCGCGCTTGGCTGCGCCGACGCCTGGCAGCGCACGTGGCAGGGAGCGCGGCGGGCGGCGGCGGCGCGGCACGGTCGCGGCGGCAGCCGCGGGCAGTAGAAGGCGGCGCCGGCGGCCATGGGCTCCGAACGGCGGCGGCGGTAGCGGGCCTGCGCGTAGGCGGAGCCTCAGCACGCCCCCACTGCGGACAACACCCACACCACTCACTCACACACAACGCTACAGAGGGACGCGACGTACAAATGGTTTTCCACACCCCTGACGCGATGAGGCGATGGTTTCAAAACATGAACAATTAAAACAAAAAATATTATTATTATATTTTTAACAGATTTATAAAAAATATAAATATATTTTTATAAAAAACATCGAAAATTAATATCGGTTAATTACAAGCCATATATTATTTTTTTAACATCTTTATTAAAACATCGACGATACCTTTGGATCATCGCGTGTTCTTAAGCCTTTTTGTTAAACAGCAGATGTTTAGAGCTTTCAGATTTTTCTTTTGTGATACACTACGTGCGTCAAAGTCCCGTATTCATTTAAAATAGTTTAAGTATGGTGTCGTCGTGTTTATCATACAGGAGGCTCTGGCACCCCTCCTTTGTTATTTGGTGTGACACTATCACGACAAAGGCTACGTTTGTGTTTAAAACAACTTCTTGCGTAGAAGAAATACAATGGTAAAAATTTCAAAAGAGAAGCTTCTGCCAGACCAGGATTCGAACCTGGGTTATTGCGCCACAACGCAATGTCTCTAACCCTAAAGATCCCGGCTTGTCGACCGCGCTCGCAGAAATATGGCCTTGATGCATATATTAGTAAGAATCACATACGTTGCAAAATATCAAAAGATCTACTGCCTCGTGGACCAGGATTCGAAATCTGGGTCATATTGCCGGGCGCACAACGCAATGTCTAACCACTAGAGCATCAGGCTGTCGACAACCTCGGGAAAGTGTGGCTGAGGCATATAATAGTAGGTAAGTTCACATTCGTTTTTTCAAATTAAGATACTATGAGCACTGCCGTGACAGGATTCGAAAACCTGCGGTTATTGCGGCCACAACGCAATGCTAACCACTAGACGTCACGGCTGTCAACCGTCTGGAGTAAAGTAGTGCCTTTAGCATATATTA